ACTGCGGCCCAATAAGTCCATTGCCGTCCGTTTTCAATTATCCATATTATTGAAAGTTATGTAAGACAAGAGAGTTCAACAGAGCATTTTGACAGTTTAGATTAATATGACTTCAAATTCGCAGCTCATGGAACAAAAGACAAACAAATGCTAGCTAAATCTTGTTTCGCGGGGTTGCAGTGGAAATAGGCAAGGGTGGGGTTAATTTGAAATTAGTTTTATTTCCGTCATTGTTCAGAAACAATGACCCCAAAATTCGGTTGTTTGTGCGCATTGGATTCCGACCTTGAGAATAAATCTAAAGAGGCTTACCAGACAATAAAACAACCATTATCAAAAAGCAAAAAAGGTGTTACTTTTTGTATCTTAAAGTTATTCCTATTTAAGAGTAGAAATGATGCCAACTTCTGATCACTCTAAAGTTTTCGATCGAAGTTCGACTTTTTTTACGAAATTTGAGTTTCCTTTTATTTCCGGGACTATTTCACATAAATTACGGCGAACTTAGAATTCGAAAAAAGTGCCGAGCTTTGATCGAAATCCCTAGACATTTCAACCCATGAGTGGGATAATTTTTAAAGTTTTCAAAAAACAAAAAGAAATGCCTCTTTTACTTTTCATAACGATTAATTTCGGAGTCTGGGAAAATTTTCAGGCTTATTCTTCGAATCAAACAGTCGATAAGCTGTTTTTTTCGGTTAGGTACTCATTGAGTTTTTATCTCGATAATCCCATATAATAGTGTGGAGAAAAAATCTAAACAAAACCAATACAAAAGCAGATATAGCAATTTATTGTACCTATATACATTTATTATTTAGTTTGTATTATCAATATGACAAAACTATTCTTAGTTTATAAAAGATGCTTGATGCGTAGCGATAAGCGAATGTCTTTGTAAACAGTGTGACAATTCCCAAATTATCTTTTATCCCTCAAACGTTCGTTGCAAGATAAAATCTGCAAATTAATATCAATACTTTATTTCGTTTTCGGTATCTCCCTATAGCTAAACCGACTATAACTGATGCAATACTACATTTCCTGTTAATAAGGGTTTGATTGTATTGCCAAAACTAACCGTATCGAGTTTATCAAGTATTGGTACTCGAGAAATATCTCAATTGTCTGTATGCACATTCTTGTGTTGCTGATTATCTTATAATTTTTGTTGCGTTATACATGGGTGTGCCTTTCTAAACATAAATGAATAGAGAAGCTATTAAAAAATGAACAATGTAGCTTGAAATTATAGGCAAAAGAGAGAGGCAGGTACTGGAGAGTACAAAGATCTCGTTGACTGGATCCAACTAGTTCAGACTAGGCAGAAGAAGCACGTCTATGATTTGTTTGTCTCCAAAATCTGTTGTCAGGATGAGAATTCATACTACAAATTGATTGGGTTTAAGCCACCAGTTTTACAGTTGTTAACATTTCACATTAAATTCGTATTTTTCGTAGAAATACATATAAAAGTGCGCGTGTTCCAGTCCTAGTATTGCAGACAATTAATTGTTGAAAATGGTGAAAGTTTTTGATCAACAGCGTTGCGAGAGAGAAACGTTGGGTGCCTACTTGAACAGCTGCGAGGTAATCTTGATTTCTTTCAGTTCACTTCTTGTATCTTTGAGCGCTCAGGTATTAGTTTTGAAACAATTCAGTCAGAGAGAAAAGTTCGTCTATTTTAGTCTGTGTCTGTTTATTTAATTTTTGTCACTATTTGATTAGCAATACATCATTTTTCTTTGACTGGGAAGTGGAAGTGGCCTCGCAAAGGTGATGTCGTCGATATCCATATATGGTCTAGCAACACCACTGAATTTAAGCATTAGAGAATTCAAATTAGTGTAAAAGGCAATACTCGGTTGGTGTTGTCCGTCCATCGTGTCAGATTTGGACAATCGTCTCGAGGCTATGTGGTCAGTGATCTAGCCGTTTACGCTCCTTAACGGCATTCAGCCCACCCCCCAAAAAAAATTATATCCGCAAGGTGGCAGTACAATGACGAAATTCATGATTAAATCGAACGCCTGGCCCACTGGGCTCTGAAGACGCCTACCCATCGCCGTGTGATTACACAACGTTGCCAGAACGGCGCACCGGCCTAGTCATCCTGCCGGCGCCAGGCTATATGGGATTTTGGTAAATTGTCACCCTTTCATACAACTACCCGTCAACTTTGACAGCCTGTCAGTTCGCCAGTCTTGGAAATGTTATATTCTAGAATAAAGCTCTAGTAAGAATGAGGTAGCACTTGACCTTTCAGTCCATTTAAAAAATGTTCCAAAATTATTGCACCCATGAATTTCAGCTAGCTAACGTGACCCGTTCAAACAAAAAGTAGAGGGTCCATTGAAAAGCACTGTATGTATATAAGCTACTTTGAAAAAGTAGACATCATAGGTAGTATAAGTTTATTCACATATATACAGTTTCAGTGGACCCAACAATCCAAATGCATACATATAGACAAATAAACTTCAAAATCCCACTTAAGTATATATACCTGCTAGATACAGATATGAGCATCTCTACTAATATTATAAATGTGTGTATGTTTGTGTGTTTGTATGTTCCGTTTTCACGCCAAAACGGCTGAACCAATTCCGATGCATTTTGGAACAGATATAGATTAGACCTTGGAGACGAAGGGGTTGAAATGGGGGTAAATGTGACCATGTGCATCAAGAAACTATTATTATTTTAGTTCGTGATATAAATATTGGTTTTTATATATATTTGGTTCATACATATAAATTAAATGAGCATTCACAAAGCAATTTTGGAAATTCCACCCCCAAGCAAGGGTTGAAGCGAGGTAACGCCCTTTGTACTGAGGAACCTAAGCTATTTCAAATAGCCCAGAAGTAGGGGGTATCTTTTGTTTATAATTTTATCTATAAAATAAACTGACATTAACAAAGGCTTCCATAAATGATATCCTCCAGATGGGGAAGGGGGTGAATATTTCTTATCAGCTTTTTGATTTCTTGACACCGTTTTGATAAATTTATCTCGAGAACTAAGACATACATATGTATATAATATATATTTTCAAAGAATTTCAAAATTTCAGAATTTTAAAAATTTTTAGAATCTTCAAAATTTAAAAAATGTGTAAGATTCTCAAAATTTTACAAATTTAAAACCTCAAAATTTTAAAAATTTTCATGATTTTCGAAAGTTTAGAAATTTTCAAAATTTATCAAGCTTCAAAATCATCAAAATTCTAGAAATTTTCAAAATTTCTCGATTTATAAAATGTTCTAAATTATTATGATTTTCAAAATATTGAAAAATTTTAAAACCTTCAAAATCTTGAAAATTTTCTAATTATTCGAAATCTACAATATTTTCAAATTTTTCAGAATTTATGTTGAATTTTCACACTATGCAATTTTGGCATTTTAACAAAAACTAACTGCGAGAATAACGTTAGAACAAAACACCAATTAGCACCAAATACCCTTAAAACAATGAAAATAATCACAGCTACAACACTTATGTACTCAAAGAATGAATCACACGCGTAGCAACACGGTAACTAGTCAGCATGGCGAACGACGCACCTGTCTTAAATAGGGCCAATAATCTTCCGCCGAGGGAGTGGTCAGCGGGAGGCGTGGTTTTGCCAAAATATTTGTCAAATTACATCTACAACTCAAAAACCGTTTGAGCAAATGAGTTGATTTTTTCTTTGATGGCTTGTTCTTTCAGTTCTTTATGTCTTTTATCCACATACTTTCAAAAAATCGTTTTCCTTCAAAAGAAAAATAAATTTTGTATGCGAAAAATAAATTATATGTGGAAAATGAGCGATAAAGGACGTTCCTTTATTGATTCATAATGCAATCACTTAATTTCATGTCTTTACGATTATTTGTTTCGAAGCTGGGACTGTAAAAAAATTGGCAAAAAAAAGTTGTCTTTTTGACAAAAAAACATGAGATTATCATAAATCAGTCATTTTTATACACATCCTGAAATAATCGGACAATAAGTGCTCATAATACTGCTCCAAACGCACAGTTGAAAAAAAGGGACGTGCGACCTTAAGACGTTTCAGTTCTGTAACTTTAGTGGAAATATACTGTATACAGATTCCATCACCCGAGCTCTATGACATCTCATCAATAAATAAATTGACTCTCGTTTCAAAGAAAATAGTTTATTTTCACATATTATCGTTTCATACCGTACTTACTGTACAATGTAATTTTCTAGGCTAACTATATACATTATTTCAGCTAAATCTATATAAGTACATTCCTCGATTCTAAAAACTAATCTTAGCCTAATTTCAATAAATATTGCAACATTTAATCACATTACAGTCATCTTTGGTATTCATGAATGAGATTGAAATATCCTGCTATTTAAATCAGCAACAACATGCAGTATAATTAATTAATATCCAATTTATTTGAGATTATCTTCTAGAAAGAACCTATTTTACTAAGAGCTCATCATGTAAGATTACAAATTGTATCAACATTTTCATATACTTATTGGTACGATGAAAACTAATGCTCAAAGAAATTGAAACTAAAAAAATATACATCTATCACACAGTTTAAGTCTAATTTGAAAAAAAAATAATATCAAGTAAATTGGATTTACACTGAATGTACCAAACATTCAACAATATTTCCAATCAAAAGCATTGTTGAACATTAAGTTGAAGTTCTTTTGTTTTTGCAGTCGCTGTATTAATGTTTTTATAATAATAATGTACATTTTAATACTGACATGGAATATCCACTCTGTGACACAAAAGTCTAGACTATGTATACTTATGTATATAATTTGTACAAAATTTGTAGTCCGAACATATTGTGCATATCTACATTGCTGTTTACGTACAATCAGAATTAACATACATGTAAAATTGTCTTTGCAACAAATATGATATAAATAATACATTTATGTGCGGAAATGATCTACAAGATTGTTCGTGAGCCAATAAAATACGAAGGTGGTAAATGTATATATTTTTTGAAGCGCCAAAAAAAAAAAACAAAAAATGCTAAAGTTTTATCGCAAAGTATTATTCTGCAAATAATTTTTAAGTGGCATCTTTGGTCGAGGTTTAAAATTGATTACGGGGACACAATTAATTGTTTTAGATGATGTTGAATAAGCACAGCACATACAATCGCAAATTTTCACGAAAAATAAAAAAATCATTCCGTAACGATATAATCATGATAAACTATCTGTAAGTAGCCGGATAATGAGTGTATTTTTCCAAAAATCTGATAATGAAATTAAGAATGATCTGAATTAAACTGTAAATTGTATTGAACCAACAACGTGCGGATTCTTTGAACATATATCCGCCATAAATTTGACACCTGATTCTGATTTCTATGTCAAAATTATCATAACAGTATGAAATCATCACTGCACAGCAGGATCCAAATTAATTTCAAAATTCTAATTTCAGTAGTAATCAGGCTTCATATTTGTGTTGAATATACGTTGTGACATATCTAATGTTGGCTTATCAGTACAAAAATGAAATAAATACCCATAGAAATAACTAATTCAGTGCAAAGTTGAATTTATTTTACAAATGCCCTTCTGAATAAAAAGTAGCTTTTCTGCAAACTGTACGTTAAAGTCATGATTATTTACTTTAACCAAAGTTCGATTATTCAACTCCGAGAACAACTTAAATGGTCGTTCAGTTAAAACATCTTCTAGTGGAAGAATGTTATGAGGAATTGACTCATTGAAGCCCGGTGAAAAAGCAAAGAAAATCAGTGAAAGTTATCAGAAATGACTACCTGCGTTTGTATCGCTGGATCTTGCTTATATGAAGCTGTGTCTCCAATCAATCTAGATCTTAAAGTGTCCTCAACCAAACAGTTGATTAGCGAGATTTATGTCAATTTGTACATCTAGTAACAGTCATTGTCAAAAAAGTTTCACCTAGTCCAATCATCACTACTCACAGATAGAGGCGAGAACGCCGACATTTGGTTGTGTATCCTCAACCCAACATCATTGTTGCTCTCTGCTTTCATGTCTTTACTTTTTTCTGCGTTACCCATAATAGAGTCTATCGAGAAGCCATTTTTGATCTTTTTGGTGATTTCCGTCGGCATGTAGTCTTCCGTATCAGACACTGGAGTGACCGGTGCTTGCACTGGAACAGGCTTGCAGATCGTCGGCTGAGGAATGATCCCCAGTGGCCCGAGGCTGATTCTTGATAGGTCCATAGGCGTTAGAAGTGACAGGTTCGCAGGCAGTCCACCTGGCATGCTCGGTAAGTATGGATATGGATTATGGATAGTGTTGTGAGCAAAAAGGTTGTGATGGTAGTTCTCCTGGCTGGACAAAAACGAGGCTACCATCGCTGAAGCATGGTGATCTCTCAGCATCATGTTCGGTGAAGGGCGTTTGTACCGCTTCCGTCTTCTCAAGAAACTTCCGTTGTCAAACATGTCTTCTGCCAAGGGATCTAACGTCCAATAGTTGCCTTTTCCAGGATTACCAGGCTCTCTCGGAATCTTGATGAAACAATCGTTCAACGACAGGTTGTGTCGTATAGAATTCTGCCAAGCAGGGAATTTCTCTCGGTAGTAGTGGAACCTGGACATGATGAACTCGCAAATTCCGCTGAGAGTGAGTTTCTTGTGAGGGGACTGTAATATAGCCATGGTGATGAGGGCGATGTATGAATAAGGAGGTTTAATGAGTTGATGTTGTCCGGACTTCTTGGCGGATTTTTCTTTTTCGGTTTTAACTTCTGGTGCGTCCAAGCTAGAACCTCTCAGGTCCAGAGGAGCGTCACTAACCATCAACAGATCGCCTTGTTTCAGTCTCTGGCAGTTCTCCTCCATAGTTCCACTCGCGTCACTATACACTAAACCATCACTGTGCAACTACGCGTAGGTGTGTCGTGCACGACACGCGAGCTCAGATTAGATCTGTGCTGTATCTGTATGTTATCTCAATATTATCTTGCCAAGAACAATAATGGTGCTGGGCACCGCAGCTTCCGGTATGTGAAAACAAAGCGGTTGGACGATAGGGGAAGCGGTGGGGGTAGTCACGCCACGCCCATTTACCCCTAGGTTACGCCTCGGAGGCGAGAGGGGCGGCATTGATTTTTCTCTGTGCAGCTGGGGGTGAGTTTGCGTTGGAATTGTGTAGTTTTATTTTGAGATAGCGCCCTGCTTCTGTGCTGCCTTTGAATACACATTTATTGAGGGGAAAATGTGGGGATGGCGGGTTTAATTAAATTTTATTTTCGTCCTCAGTATTATATTAAAAATGTTTTCATGGAGTACGGGGAGATTACAGGAAAATAAAACGTATATTTTTCCTAAATTTTGCCCGTTTTGTCATGTGTCTAACTGGATGAACAACCTTTGAAATTACTTCGAGTGATTGATGCACATACTCTGTAAAAATTTATGTTTCACTGACTCTTATTGATAAGCCTCGTTTAATTAACATTTTATTATAGATGATACAACTTAACTAATAGAGGAAATTGTCCTAAATCAAACCTGTCTTTTAAACTGATCTCTGGTCTTATTGGCCTAGCATGCTCCGAAACTCCATTATGACCAAGTGTAAATAGTAGCTCGCCATAGTGTAGCATACGCGTACCCTGAGTCGCGTTACTTGCTTGTGCACGATTATTTATCTTGATAAGGAAACACCTTTTGCGCAGTGCTGCAATTTTCCTAAATGGCAAGGTCGTAGGTATACTCCTGAAACTGTATCATTTAGATGTCATATTGAAATTGTATTGTATTGTATTCACGTTCAAATACGGCTTCAAGTAGATTTACTGTAGACTTCCTAGGCCTTCGTTGGAGGTTAACAAGAAAAGGGATAAGTCAAAACGCTTCAAAAGGCGAAATAAAATCGTGATTGGATAGGTTCACTTAGGTACGATGTATGTTTGACATCTGCAAGTCAAAGTATATGAAGCAAACAGCCACTGTTTTCATAGCAGATGGAGAGAATATATGTGAGACTCATTGTCTGACAGATGCATAGTATCACTGAGATCAGCAGCTTCTTAATAATAGAAGGTCTTCTACTGACACGAAATATCCAACAATTTACAACCATTTACCGCATACAGCTTCCTACGATTTTCTTCACCTCCAATGTCTCAAAGTGAGCAGGAATCTCTGAAACGTTGTAACACTATGTTTTTGTTTTGGTCTGCTTCCGGCATATTGAACGGTTTGTAAACTTGTCTATAAGATACCCATTGTCGACACACAAAATTTCTAAGATGTGATTAAATTCCTAGCTTGCTGATTTTGGGGGGGCTTGAGCCCGGTCTCTATAAGTCGATTTGGTGACAGTATATGATGTTCTTCAAAACTTACTACAATACGTATTTCACAAGTGCCTGAATTAGACGGAATTCCTCTGCTATGAACTTTGTTCTTCGATATATGTTAATCTACGTTATTAGTTGGAAAAATAACCAAGTTATAAAAGACATTTTAATATACATACACATACATAATATGTAAGTAAAAAATATATCGAGTTTAAAACTTAAATCGGTACTAAAAACAACTGAAAAACTGGAACAAGTTCTTTTAAAATAAACTCCTCCTAAGTGCACAGACACGCGGATGGACCAGCAGACAAAGAAAACTTAAAATTTATTTTTCTGTTTTTAGATGCATACTTATCAATCACGTCTTCCAAATTTATTTCTATATGCTTTTGGATAACTAACAATCGAAGTGCAGAAAATCTTTCTTGGCCAAAGAAAGTCGTCGCCAATTCAAAATGATCCGCATAATAATAGAGAATGACCTCTCGCACGTGGCAGACGTCACTGCTAACGTTATTGCCACTTGAAACAAAGTATATACCTGTACTGATATGCTAATGACATGGCACTAATAGCAGGTACTATTTTGTGACTATCGGGCTTGGGATAGCTAAGTTGTGGCAATACCATCATTTTTGTGGCCATCGGGTTTGAGGGGCTAATCTTGAGCTTGGGGGGCTAAGCCCCCCAGCCTCCCCTAATTGCGCCACTGGCCGTAGCTGAAGCACTAAAGACTAAAGCATAAGTAATATTTGGAGGATGGTATCTATTAATAAGAGCACCGACTATTTTATAGAGGTTTCCTAGATTCGTTACCGCATTTGAATGGTTTCCTCGAGGATTTTACCTGCACCATTTTTGCAAATCGGCAAACTCCATCCTCCTATACTCGGTGACATCAGACGTGTTACACCCAGAAAAAATAATTTCATCAACTTGATTTTTTGACAGTGTGTTAGTCTACATCAAGAATGAAACGATAACATTCTCACGAAATTTTATTGATAAGTAATAAGAACAAAAAATTAATAATAGGGCGACTACGCCAGCTGGAAACACTCCTGTATACGTCTAGGCATCCACAAAATGTCTGGTTGTGGCACCTCAGTCCAAGAAACTCGAACTTCGTGGATTAGCTGTGGCAGAGACTGTGGCGAATGGTGAAAAGTGGATACAAAGTGGATATTCTCCTCCTCATCATATCCCTCACATGTTCGATGGGACTTCAATCCGGTAAACGGGGTGGCCACGGTAAAATATTAACGCCTGCTTCTTGAAGATAGTGGGTGGTACATCGAGGAATATGGGGAAGTCCGTTGTCTTGCTGAAAAAGGACGTGTGGACGGCCCTCTAGACACGGCAGTAAAGTAGTTTGTAGGACATCATCAACATAACGCGAAGCAGTCATATTGCCGTGAACAAAGAGAAGGGGCAATCGGCTACCATAGGCAATAGCCCCCCAGTCTATTACTCCATCAGTCCTGTGTGCATGCCACTCAACAGCAAATCCAATATCACGGCGCTCTCCACGGCGGCGTCTTGCCCTTCTACGACCATCGTGCGTACCTAGACAGAATCGCGATTCGTCGCTGAAGATGACATTATGCCACTCTGCCTCCCAATGTTGAGTGATGAGTAAATTTCTCAGAAACTAGGATTGTTTTGGTCCCATGAAAACTTCCGAAAGGCGAGGAATATATCATACTGAATTTATAGACTAACAGACTGGGACAAATTTTCTATATGACTTGTGCGGGGTCCTTTTGAACATCTAATTAATATCTAATACCTCGAAACTAGTCACTACCTTATCTCGTACTGTTTATCCTTTTACTTGAGAATCTAAGGCAATTATGTATATTTCTACTGCTTACTGGGTCTGTTGTTTGACTGGACCTGAAGTTGTGCGGAAGAAGACGAACCGCTGTTGAAGAAGATACACATTTTTCGACTATTTTGAACTTTGACGACACTGTGGACAATAGTATTCAACTTCAAAAATCTACGTTGAATTCTATAGTCCACCGAGTGTTCAATGACGAAAAAGTAGAAAGAGGTGACCGAAGAAGTAAATAAAAATGTGAGATGCTTGTCCAACACCAAAAGTACAAACTCGTTCGGAAAAAATCATAAGTGATCTTAAACAAGAATTATTGCAAAAAGATGAAAAACTACAAGTTTATGACACAATTATCATGGAAAAGGCAAGATTGATTTAACAGTTATCGAACGAAAATCGGAGGAGGTTACAAGAACAACCTGATTTAGTTACAAGCAGTATCGTCGATCGAGACACTATTGTTGATACTCTCCAAAAATTAACAAAACAATCGAAGATATTGAAAATACAAATACACATAAACATAAACGATCATCCTATACTCAAGTTGTATGTGAAAAAACTAACTCCATATGTTGCAATATGAAATTTAACAAAAATTATAACATAAACCATTCCCCTACTGATAGGAGTTATCCTGTCTATAATTTTCCCAACAAACACGAATTTTAAAGTTAATTACTATGGAATACAAAGCTAAGCATTCAATTCAAATTCAAACGTAACGGTAGCAAAGAAATTTAAACCAGGACACATAAACATACGTTCTCTTTTACCTTCACTATCTGAAACCCCAGAATGTAGTTCAGCCATATTTCTGAATATTATTTAGATCACTCATGTGTACTTTGTATTCAATATGTAATTTTTGTTTAAGTTTTGGAAGAATATTTTTTTCAAAATGTTTTCAATATTCTAGTGCTAGTTATTTTCAAGGGTTAAGTGGTAGAATAGCTTGTAGCTAAGCTTCGTCTCAATAAAAGTCATTTATTATTATCATTACTCATGACCTACAGAATTCGCATCCAGTAACAAATAATGGGTATTTTATTATACTAAGTGACATATAAATCCGAACACCCAGTTTAAATGGTTTTATTTTAATAAAAGTTGGTGAATGTATTTATCTTACTGTAAATAACAAGTGAAAAAATGTTCAGCCTTATCAGTTGGACATTCGGGTTTTTATACTACTTTTTTTTAATTCACTAACGCTCTAAAAATGAATATTTCAGCCGCAGTAAAGAATCAACGTTGGCGGATTTTGGTTCTTGACATTCTTTACGATCGGTTACGATGCCTAGAGTACGGAGACCTGTACGATTTCGTCAACTTAGTGAGTTTGATAGGGGTCGTATAGTGGGACTTCGGGAAGCTGGACTTTCTTTTCGGGCAATTGCAGTTAGAGTGCAAAGAAGTGTAGACACTGTGGTTTGGTGTTGTCAGGCATGGCTTCGAGAAGGCCGTACGCAAAGAGCAAGGGGCACTGGACGCCGCCGTAGAACAACAGACCGTGAAGATCGCCGCCTAAGATTATTGGCCTTAAGGGACCGTTTCTCCACTACCAGGTCCATTGCAAATGAATGGTTTGCAGAACACGGAAGACCTATTGGCATGCGAAGTGTTTACCGACGAATGAGAAGTTTTGGCTTGTTTTCATACCGGCCACACTGGGTCCTCCCTTTAACTCGAGAACATCGACGTAATCGCCTTGAGTGGTGCAGACAACGGTCACTCTGGGATCAGGAATGGAACAGTATTGTCTTTAGTGACGAGTCTCGATTTTGTTTAGGCATGCACGATG